CCCCGCCATGCCACGTGCGAGCGCCCCCCTCCGCCAACCCTCAGACGCATTGACGACGTACTGCGGGACATTGAAGGATATACCAGCAGCTAGGGAAAGCACCGTGTCATACCCTTCTCGGAATGCCCAGTTTCAAGTAAGCAAATAGTTGGATGCACCACAAGCGGACGAGCGTATTATTTTTCCTAGAACATTAGAGTGTATCCCACGGTCAGAAGTTGGAAGCAAAATGGAATCAAAAAATATCGGAACTAGCAGTTGAATGCGACCGTCGGGCTATGAGAAATACGTAATTAACTTATTTCCCTATTGGCTAGATAAGATATCTGTTCCGAGCAGTGCAGACAGAGGATAATGACCCAGCATCCTCCGCTCGCTGGCTCCGGCCGGGGTCCTGCCTCGTGTCGGGGGTGGGGTAAGCCTGGCAGCGAGCCAGCAAAAGACCCGCTGCAAAATATGGCCATGGGCACGGAAAACTATTTTAATCTGGTAGACTGCAAAAATTCATGCTCGATGGAAATATAGACAATAACATTTTTATTTTTATTCTTTTTTGTAGGGGGGCTGGGGCGAATGAGGATTCTGGGGTTGGTTAGAGAGAGAGAAAGAGGGAGAGGGATAGAGAGAGAGAGAGAGAGAGAGAGAGAGAGAGAGAGAGAGAGAGAATGGGGAGACGAAGGACTCGAAGTGTACCGCTGTGGACTTTGCCTGGGATGAAGAGGGTAGGGAGGAGGGGTATGGGGGTAACTGCTAGAAAAGGAAGCACAGAGCATCGCAATGGAGGGATGGGAGGGAGCGGAGCAGTCGGAAGGACGAGAAATGCGAGGGAAGATGAGAGATGAAGGGAAGGAGGGAGAGGGAGGGACAGGAAGTGGAGAGAGAGAGAGAGAGAGAGAGAGAGAGAGAGAGAGAGGAGGAGGAGGAGGAGAGGGATTTGTTGTGAGTTAGTGTTTCCTTCTCCCCCTGTCCTTTTTCCACGGTTGCTTTCGCTCACGCAATTCTTTCCTGCACCCCACTCAGTGAAACCGACAGTACATTAGAGCTGACTTTTGTTTTCACGCACATTCTCAAAAAGGATTGTATTCGTCGAATCGATACTCAAAAGATGCATCTATTTGAACGGCAGAATAATGATCTCGTGACCTTTCGCTTGTAGCCGTGTTCAGCTTAAGCTGCAACGTTTCTTGAAAAGTTCAAGTTAAGGATTGTAGAGTATACGTACATTACTTTCCAATAAGGGCCGAGTCAATCGCAGTACAGTCGGCCCAGTACAGTTCGGACGAGCAGACCAGACAGCTCAGAAGCCAGGTGATGGGCAATCTGCTGCTCCAGTCTGTCGGCGTAGTGTCACTATCTGGGTGGACTAGAATGATAAACTGATGGCGTATTCCCGGGTGGCAACTTAGAAAAGCAAGTTTAACCATCACTCAAACCCTCGCAGTCAGGGTAGTTGGAGGAGGAGAGGGTTGGGCCTCTGAGCACCCCGAGGAGCCAGCAGCCTAGCGTCCTTGGGACATCGTAAAGCATCACTTTACTTGCCTTGGAGCAGTCTGCCGGGATGGGGGCGGACTACAAAGCCTGGGCCGCGCCAAACATGGAGGGGCCTCGAGGATGCTGCTGCTGCTGTGGTCTAGTGGTGCACGGCACCGCCAGTAAATTCTGGCGTTATGCCCTTCGACCAAGCAACTTGCCGGCTATATACGTCAGCGGCAAGTTGACTGAGGCGTCTTGGGCTGTGGATGGTGGAAAGGGGGGGGGGGGGTGTCCGTCTGGGTCTTGGGGTGCACAGGACGAGAAGCGCCAACCACCTTAATCGACGCAACTGCTTGCTATGCATAACTTTTCAAAAATTATAAGGAAAATCTTTGAGCGTTTTTATTCTTCAGTGAACTGCGCTCACGCCCTCGCGTAGTCATTTTTTTTTGTTTCTTTTTGTATGTGTTCTCGGCCGAGTGCTATTCTAATGCGGCCCTTCAACCGCCCGAGGTGCAGAGCAGGCCAGGCCCTTCCACACGCTCCACCCCGCCACCCCCTCCCGCACCCCCACGACTTGTCGTCTATGCCGGTATTATTTTCCACGCCATACTCCCTCCCTGTTTACGACCCTTCGCCGCACTGCATACACCTTTCTCTTTTCCTCCGCCACTCTCTCTCTCTCTCTCCCACCCACCACCCAGCCCAGGTGAGCTCGGTTACCACCGTCTCGCCCATGCCGATGTAAACGTGGAGACCTGAATGTTTTAGAAAGGCTCAAGCTGCTCAAGCTAGAATCGAGATGCTCTGTTGTTGTGTTGGATGTACTGCCTGCCCCGCTGACCAATCTTCGCTCCCCACTGGGCACGGCGATCTCTGGTGACTTGTCGCTAAGCCTGTTGTGTAATGTTCAGGACGCTATGGGGGAGTCCCCCGGGGTGGCGAGGCCCCCGTCAGCCACTGGAGCTCCAGGCCGGCCCGGTGGAGCGGCGCCGGAGCGGGCGCGAGGCGCGGCGAGCCCGCGGCTGAGGCCCTGAGGGCTGGCCTGTGGGCTGCCCTGAGGGCTCGCCTGAGGGCCCGGCCCTAGGGTGGCCCCCGGGGCCATGCGGCGGCCTGCGCTCAGCCCGGCCTAGACAGACCAGTGCGGGCCGCGGACCCCCGCCATGGCGGACGAGCTCGTCGAGATCATCCCCATCCCCAAGACGTTTCTGGAGAAGCTCACATTCTACACCACCGCCTTCTTCATCCTGCTGGGCACGTTCAGTCTGTTTGCCTTCCTGTTCCTGGTGCCGTTCGTCATCGACCCGGCCTTCACCACCATCTTCATGCAGTTCGAGCCGGTCCCTGCGCTGTGCTTCACCGTGGACACGTCTAGCTTCCGCGGCGCGTCCAACTGCTCGTGGGCGTCGTGCCGCGAGGGATGCACCCGCGAGGTGTACGACTGCACTCAGATCCGTGTCAACTACAAGCTGGTCGAGTGGCCGAGTGGGCCTAGCAGCGGCGCGCTGCAGGCGGACAGCAACGACGTGCCGCGGCGGAAGCGCCGGAGACGCGAGGAGGCCGACGACGTCCTGTGGGCGTCGGGTGCGGTGTGGTCGGCGGGGCGCGAGGACCTAGCGCGGCCGCGGCGCTGGGCCAGCCGCCGGGGTGAGGACTGGTGGATGACGCCGCGGCAGCGCTCGCACGCCGACCACCACCAGCCGCTGGCCCCACGCCCGGACGACCCCGAGGTTGACGACGTGCTGTCCTCTATAGACGACGACCTCGTGGACGAGGCGCGCGGGCTGCACGATCTAGACGACTCGCTGGCCGGGTCGCTGGACGGCGCCGCCCTGGACGGCGCGCTGGACGGGCCCTCACCGACGGGGCTCATGGGCAACGACTCGGAGTGGTACTTCGTGCACGCGCGCCTCTTCCCCAACGTCAAGGGTTGCGGCTACCCGCCCATGCTCAACTGCTCCGTGTTCCTCAAGAAGTACCGCGAGTTGGGGACCAACTTTTCGTGTTTCTACAGTAAGATCGACCCGGGGCTGGTCATCGATGACCTGGACATGTGGCAGGTGTACATGAACCTAGTGTACGCCATGGCCATCCCCATCCCTTCCTTCATCATCTCCATCATCTACCTCACCATTGCCTACTTTAAGATCTACGCCGCCGAGGACGAGGACGCCAACGCGACGGGGGTGGAGAACACGCCACTGCCGGGAGCATCGCCTCTGCCGGGGGCGACCTCGGGCGGCATCACGCCCATTAGCGAGGTGTTCCGGGATGACATGGCCAGCTTCGGCCACCAGCTCAAGGTGGCCATGGTGGACGAGATGTCGAGAGACAGTGTGCAGGATGCGTGCATCGTCACCTCCAACTCCATGGGCAACTGCATCGGCAGCATGGGGAGCATCGCCACACCGCACGGGTAAGACAGCAGCTTGCGGTAGGGAGATGGCGCAGGTCTGATTGAGCTCGGCCGCCCGTGACGGGGAAGGCGGAAAGTACAATGGAGGGGAGAGAGGCCGATTCTTCGCGCCACTCCGCTGTTCGGTTCAAAACGTGTAGGGCGCACGCCGAATCAGGTAGGAGCAGGGTAGCAAGGTACACCCAGGTTAAGGTACCGTGACATGTACCGTAGCGACAGTGCCGCTCGTCCACATGCTAGTACTGCACCTCGTGATTGTATAGGACTCCAGTGACTGGGACTGTCATGTGGCGACCAGGACAAAGAAGGCCGTCCTAGGCAGTAGGCAGTCCCAGTGAGACGAGGGTGCCGCTCGTCCACATGCGTGGACTGCGCCTTGTGACTGACGGCCATGTGACGGCCAGGACAGAGGAGGCCCTCCTAGGCTGTCCCAATTCCATCGACCCCTCTGGCCGCACAGTGCTGCACGAATTTTTCATGGTTGCCGCCGAAACGCGAGGCAGTGGGACTGCTGTGGGGGGATGGAGAGAAGGGGGTAGCGGGGGCGAGCGGGGGTGAGCGGGGGCGAGGGCTGTTCCGCACGCGCGAGCGGTGGCACCACGCCATCACACTGTGGGGAAGAAAGACGGGACCGAAAACTGCGCTTGTTAAACAGTTGTGAATGAGCACTGTAAATAACATGTGATCATTTATTCACACAAAAGGCGAGGGCTTCAGCAGACTATTGCACTGTAACAACTTCCATCCCGGCTGCTGATAAACGTTGCTGGGAAAATGATAGAAATCTGTGGCACAAAAGGAAGCGTGCCACTGGTCTGTACCTGAAAGTGCCCAACTTAACGTGGCACACTTTTAAGTGTTTCGCTGGATATTTGATTATTGAACAGTGTTTAACAGTAAAGTACAGTGTCTGGCTGCAGGGTTGGCCGCGCAGCCTTCGACACTTTAAAGTGTTCAAATTTACTTGGACAATAATTTCCTTTTACATCTTAGAGTGGAACGACACGATGATACTTCTCGTGATGGGCTTTGGTTTGCACGTCGTGGTCACTGTCTTTACCTTACTGTCACTCTGTTACCTTGAGGGCAGTTTCTTACTTTGCGGTCCCCAACAGAACAGGTTGATCACTTTCAAGTCATTTTGGAGTCTTTGCGACGTCCCAAATGACATCCCTCGAGCCAAAATAGCGACTATTTCGTGACTATTTGACGCCATTTCGATGTAGCTGTGACTATCCTTTTCTCCTTAGGGCCACTTTCTTGCCTTGCGGTCACTCTCTTGCCTTGCAGTCACTCTGTTAGCTCGGAGTCGCTCCGCTACATCGCCGACGTTGGTCCCTAATCAGGACGCAAATAGTTAGACATGTCCTCGCAGCCAACCGAGACGTGCCGGACTCGCCCGGCAGAGAGAAAACTCTCTGTGTCGTATATCGATTGAATCGAAAAGGAACGCCTGTCGGTCGGCAGGTGGCTGGTGTAGAGGTAGCAGCACTGCCCCTTTTCTTCATTCCCACATTCATTTTATCGTGGCCTCTACACCCAACATGGGAAAGTAGAATATTGTCCCAAGGAATGTGAAGATCGAAGAATGATATGAAATCTTGAACTAGTTCGGATGCAAAATGTCCCATTAAAATTATATCATTTTCAAGCAATTTCAAGCAACTGGCTCGTTCAAAAACGTCACCTTATTTGGTTCAAAATTGTCATCCGTCATCCGAATTATAAATAAGTGAAAGGTGCCCTTTCTACTCCCATTTGCTTTGCTAATAATTCGTCAACAAGCGCAAATCGTCTGTGGTCACACGGTAGTTGAGTTGCCACACGCGGTAAAAGAGACGCGGCCAATTAAAACTGGCTGTAGCTCTGACGTCTCTGTCACATTACTGTTTCGCAACGGGTCGGCTCGCGTACCTCTAACTCTCCCCCCAGCATTGTCGTTTTTCCTCCGCATTCATCCATATAAACGTTACCTAATGCCTCGCTAATGTTTATGCGAATAGTTTGTTTATGGGGCACAGGCACGACACGTGGCAGCAGCGTAAGCGCAACAAACCGAGGGATCAGGGTGGGGGACTTGATATGGTCGAAAAAAAATAAGACCAGATTAATGATGGCCCCTATTAAAAGAGTCCCATGAGCCGGTGGCCCACCCAGAAAGAGTCTGACGTCCTGGAGACCCATTTGAAGGAGTCCGTTGAGGTTTTCGTTCTCATCCAACAAAGTTCGAAGTATGATATTCGGCGGTTTGAGAAATGGAGAACCTTTCTCACTCCCTAGGCTTCTAAACTATCGCTGCCAATAGAGAACAACGAGCTTTGCTTGCAAAACTAACTCACGATTACTAACGTAGAGGGTGCAGATATCAAAATCAGGTCAAAAAAAAAGGCTAATCTGCAGATCTATGCGTATGCAAAACTTACGGTAAAATCACTTTTAGTAGAAGTACTGAGAACGAATTCTTTCAAAATCATTCAAAAATTGTGTCTAGCTGCACACAAGTTTTTTTGTACGTAAGCTCTGTGTAAAATACTTTTAATTAGAATTTAGTGTGTGGAATTTTAAATCTTAACTGAGCGAGACAAAAGTCATACACAAAAAATATATGGCAGCCGTATCAAGTTCAAGTGTTAGAATGTCGGACACCTGTATTTTTGTATTGCCTAACGCACGTCTATTTTTTACGCTGTTGCAGAAACTTGAGCAGGACAATGACGACCAGTATCACAACTCCTCCTGGGCCGATAGCCGATCTCTGAAGCGCAGCTTCCAGGGCCTCGGAAACGTCAGCTGGAAGTAACGCTCACCCGCTGTGCACCACCACGCTCCACACCTCGGCAACTCTACTCTACGCCATCAAACTACGATGTGGCTTATGTATACTACATATGTACTCGCCCATTGTTTCTTAGCGGGGTAGGCTTTTGTACAAGGCGAATGGTGTGGCGCTCTCTGTTTAGCCAACGGTACAGTGTCCGGATTCCTGCAGAAGGTATTGAGTGCGTTGACACGAGCTCGGTGTTGTGCTTTCTGTGTCGTGGGATAGAACGGAACACATGCCTGTGTCTGGCGCTCGACTGCAAGCAAGGCCCGTTTGTACTTTGCCATGCAAACAAGTTAACTTCTGCTGATTAAACTTCTTGGTTGTAATTGTGCGAAATAAGAAAAATTGTGATATTAAATCCACTGAAAAACAAGTCCTTTCCTAACCTTTAAAGGTGCTATCTCGTACTGAAATAGGGTCGACTAACCGCCATCGGAATGATTGTCACAATGCAGTCACTATCCTCATGTTATAAACTGCTGTTGTGAGCCGTGCGCCTTTGTATGGTACCTTTTCGGGCGGTATGACCCCTTCATTAGTTTCAATGCTGGTTCTCAGAAACGATTTAGGCCAACTGATTGTTGCAGATAGTCCTCTTAACCTTTGAGTGGTACCATGTTACGTCTTTGGATCGGTCAGACACTTGCCACTTCATATTGTCAAGGTCTTCCCCACTTGACTAATATAAAAGCAAGTTGAGCCATAGCGGTTGTTTTATTCGTGATGTATTTCTTGTTCACCACCGTGGCGTTCACTGCCCTGGAAGCGTTCGCTTTACCCTGTGTGTGACGTTGAGGGGTGGTCACAAGACGTTACCTGATTTTTCTTAGAAATATGTTCCCCGTGAACTATCTGACTTGTTACTTGATTTCTGCTACTGCGGAAACTAACTGAATTTCTTGAATTTTAGTAGGTACCTTTTCCAAATTTAGTAAGGATGTCTTCTTGTACAGTGTTTGGCTTTTCGGCATTATCTTGTTTAATTGCTCAGTATCTAAACAAACCAACGGTAAATTAATGATCTTAAAGGAGACTGTCCTGTGCAAACAATTAATAATCACTTCGTTGATCGTTTTTAGAAAAAAAATCAGCAGGTAAATTTGCTAAACCTTTTGGTAGATGTAGCGTTAATAACAAACTTGCTGTGATATGCCGACGAATCGAACGAACTGCATCGCATAGGGAGGTCTAAATAACGGGCCAAGTACTTCCCATCTTATCAAAGACAGCTGTGAATGAAGGATGTAAAGCCGTGACTCCTGACCAATTCCGAAACAAGACAGGAACTCTGGAACTAAATTCAGGTTTTAAGCTTCATTATTTTTCTAAAGTTTGCACTCTAGGCACAAAGGCGATCAATTACCCCTCAAAACCGATATATTTCTACTTTGATCTCAGCTTTGCATTGGTGGTAAGAACCTTTGCGATTTTCAAAGCTATATGAGTTAGTCGACCGTCTAGAATACACGCCTTTAAACCATTTCCCGTATTTTTATAAAAAGGCACAGAAATGTACCGACGTTTCTATAAGTGTCGCTAGATTCTTCATTATATTGCAGGGGTGCTCGATCGAACCCATCAGAAAAGTTTGTCTTTGTGCCACGATTAAATAAAATTTACGTATGTTGAAATTTGTTGAGTTGTGGTTGTTGTGTGACGTTCTTTCACATGTTCAATGTTTTTATCAGTAAGAAACGGTTAGCTCACAAAATATTCAACACAAATTACAATTTAATCTGGTAAGGGCTTCATGTTCTTTACGCCTGCAAATGGAAGATATTTTTAATACTGCTGTCTATTTAAACCAGTGCTTGACTCATACCAGAACAGTCTCCAAGTTTAAATTTTTTATAAAATTTCAGTCTTTATCATTAAAACGCCTCTTTTAAAAACAGACTTAAAAGCACCCAATGATTGCAGCGCGATCTTTCTGGGTTTGATTTCAAATTTGAAATTATAATTCAACTATTTTAAAAATGGCGTAACGGTAGTATTTCTGTCACTTCCAATTACAACGGTATAATGCTAATGGTATGCGACTGGTGCCTATATTGTGTTATGTTTTCATCTTGCGGCATTTTGTACCGTGAGTCTATAGCGTCGTGAGATCAACAACCTAACTGCGGTGAGCGGTTTCTAACCTTATGTCCTTGAATACTCATCTGTAAGTCCCGTTAAGAATGCTACAGGAGTAAAAGACTTGAAATTTTCTTCTGAACTGATAAGGACACTTATTCCCTTAGTAATATAAGGATTAAAAGGGTCCGATAGGCACAATAATTTATAATGCTATTGCCAGTCAAATTAATAAATTAAATAATTAGCCGTTTGAAAAACCTCAGATACGCACACAAAAACGTCCAGTAAGAACGATAAATTAACTCACGCGCTTCATGATGTTATGCTGCAAATCCGAAGTGTTGAATATCACTACTGCTCCTACTTTCGAGCCATGTTTGGTTGTAGGGGCTCTTGATCGAAACGTCAGATTGACGTAGGACTAAGTAGCATCCTCACCTAGAAAACCTACTCTCCAGACAAGAGAAACGCTCTCAAACAGGATTTTCATCTTGATCCAGGTGCAAGCGGCACGCTCGATCCAAGATCTGATCATAATTAAGAGAAAAAATTTACATCGGAACAAGAGGATTTTTCTGGTCTGAAGAAATGATATTTCTGTGTGTACTCATCATCAAATATTTTTATTCGCTGAAAATTGAATGACATTCTTTGAGAACAAACTACTGTACCATGTAAACTTGTTTCTGATAAAAAAAAAAAACATGACTCAAGTCAACTCGTTGAAAACATGTGCCTTAAAACGCTGCGACGACACTTCCTTCGAATTGTGTTTGAAGGCTCGTCCTGAGCTGTGCAATAAAGTAAGCGTTTTATTGTTGTTATTGTTGTTGAGCTTTGCTAAACCCCGCTGAGCGTGATGCCAATTACTAAAGTTACGAGGACTCTTGTTGTAAATTTGATACCCTGGTGTAAAATTTCGTTTTCCTTAATCCTGTTGTTAACATTAAATGAGTGTTTCGTACAGTGCCTTGGCCCTTTGTGTTGTATTCCGCGCCCTCAGCAGAACACCAAAAGCCTGGTCGGCCGCTCGCTTGAGAGGAAGTGCACCGCGTCGACAACACCGGCCTCGCGGGGTCAGAGGACACGGCCACGGGCCCCGGGGACCGTTCACCACTTCCCGGGGAGGAAGCGAAGGCAGCGGGCCGCGGCCACGGGTGACTCACTGCACCGCCCCCAGAGCGGCACCCCTCCAGCGGCTGTCCAGCTCCCTCCCTCTCCCCACCCCCCGGGGGGCTGTGCCCCCCCCCGCTGGCCAAGCTGTACCTCCAGCAGCCCGGTCCTCGCCGTCTGCGTGCTCGACTCAGGCCCCGGCTGTGTGCCCCAGTGTCTCCAGCAGCGGGGAAGAGAGGGAGAAGGGGTGGGGGGCGAAGTGGGGGTGGGCTGATCGATACGGGCCAAGGGGCCCAAAGCAGGGTGAGGGCGAGGGGCGGGTGGTGGCGTGGGTAAAGTTGGGGTTGGAGGGGGTGGATTAAAAGTGGCAGTGTGGCGCCGCGGTCTGTGACGGGTAAGCGAGACGTCGGGTAGCGCCACCTTGACGGCCACGCCCCCCTGCGACCCCCC